ATCTGGACTCACAAGTTCAGGTATTTACTTCCTCCAATCTTCTTTCTGTTCCAGGACTGACAGTCTCAGTGCGCAAACATACTAGACCTCAGCTAGATTCAAAGCACTTCTGATATGCAACTGCAATACATCACCATGAGCCTCTTGCTCATCTGATTTTGAAACATTTTTTTTCTTTCTGCTCCGACTCTAATAACTAATGCTAAATAAGGTCTAAATAACCTCAGCCAGGCCAATAATGACTTTGACTGCAAGACCAAAAGCACTGTGGCCAGCAGGTCAAGGGAGATGACCCATAAATCCCTTGCAACCCAAACTACACTATGATTTGATCACTAATTTGCTGATACACATATCCATGGCTACTAAACAGCATCTGCCACAGATTTCAAGGACTATTAGAAACTGCACTGTCTGTTTGTTCAGTTTCATGGTCAGTTTTCATGGTAACAAGGAAGTATTTTCATTCAAGACATCTAACAAGGGCTTAAGGGCGTAGACACAGCTATTTATAGATTAATGATGTGGGCATAAACACCTCTCCCACCATCTTCTTCAGAGACAAAGCACATCCTACCATCTGACCCATGAATTACAAGAAGTCAGGCTGTTTTACTGCACAAGAATCTTGTGGAAGGTAACCATTCTCATCAGTCCTTCAAAACACTTACTGGCTATGCTTTCCTCAGTGTTCATGTCTCTCACTGGATCCCACAAAGTTATCTTACCAACTCCTTAGCTGTTCCTTCTGCAGACCTACACTGCTGTTCCTCTTGCCACCCCACTTCAGAAGTGTCTCAGACTGCAGAGCTCCAGTGAGCCAAGAGACCCCAACTACCTCTGCCCTCCTTACCTGCGGTTTGGGTTCATACTGTTGCTGGAGCATCTCTGCCACTTTGTTCTCAAAGGCACATAGCTGTGTGTAAACTTGGTGCAGAAAGGCCTCACGCTTCGTCTCATCCAGCTGACAGCCCTGGAATAGTACCTGGTCCAAGGACACACATCAGACATCAGGTTAAGGTTTAATAGTAGCAGCTCTCAAAATGGTACACACGAACACAGTTCTGCACGGTGAAGTTCAGACACTTTGTGCCTGACAAAGTACAGGTACAGCACAGGCCTCTTCTCTCTGCTCCTGCTCACAGCCAACTGCCTCTGAGCAGCAGTGTCTCGTGGCATCTGCAGTGCACTCCACAGCAGATACTCACATCACTGGGAAATCTTCTTGGGCAAGAAATTTCTACTTCATTTGCCTTCCTCTAGGATAAGCATTTGCCAGGAGAAAGTGATATGGGACCCTTGTTAGAAGCCATTAACTCTGGTCTGATGTTTCTAAGGAAGGCCTATTCTCATCTAACTCACCTACAGACTGGTCTTCCAAAAGGAAGAGCAAATTGAAATAAAGAAAAGAAATAATTAGATTGGACATTACAAAAGAAGCTGAATGATGTGACAGTGAGCCTGCCACGACAGAAACTCCCCAAACTGACAGGTATGACACCTGTGTTTACAGGTGCTACTACTGTACAATCTTTGTCACAACCAGGACGCAAAGAAGACACAACATGTAGACAAAGAACTCAGATGGGTGGGATGGTGTGTGTTATCTGCATTCCCTCAACCTCAGGCGGCCAAGACCTCATAGTAACACAGGAAAAGTAAATCATTATCATAGAGGCAGACTTTCCTGGATGAGTGATACACACATATGCCTTTTCCTCCATAAAAGGAACATAATTATCCAGTTGTACCCAGAGATCACAGTTCATGGCCTCATACAAAAAATGTGAATTTAGAGAGATCCCAAGAAGAAAAACATAGCAATTTCAGAGTGCTCAATATAGTGCAAACAGGGAACATACTGAGGCACAGCATGATGGTGTCTGCATGATTGCTGGACAAGAAGACACACAAAACATCAGTGGGAAATGGAGAAATTCCTACTACACCTACTCTGTCAGCACCTGAGAATGCATGAAAGCAAGGGCCATGCTATTCAAACACTACACAGATGCTGGCAGAAGGCTTGGGAAGGGAGGGAGAAGGAACAACTATAGCCAACAGGCTCCTCCTGTTACCATCCACTTTCTTTGGAATTAGCAAAGGGATGAAATACACCATCCAAAATTTGTAAGCAGTGTGACAGTACTGTAAGGGGGAAGGGATCAAGGATAAACTTCAAAAACCACTCTGGCACCATAAACCAGACTTGAATTTATTAAACAGACCTGCCCTGACTCAGGTAAACTCTCACTGATCTGGAGCTAGCTGCTCCCTCCAGCAAGAAAAAACAAATACCAGTGAAAAAAGAGAACAAGGTTTGTAAGAAGAGGCAATTATCTTTGAATTAACCACTGCTACACAGCTGGAGCACGCAGACAAGCTTTTGGGCACAAGTGCTCTGCTTGAATGCTTCAAGCCGATTATAACAGGCAAATAGAATTAATCAACAGAAATAATAAAAAACCCCAACAACAAAACAACAACAAAAACAACAACAACCACCACACATTTGACATGAAGTAAATATTCCCTGTGGCCCAATTCCAAGTTCATGACTATAGGTAGCTTTCTCCAGAGAAACCTCTGTTTCCTGTCCAGAAAGGAGAAGTTGCTCACACACACTTCCGTACCACGACAGGTCACATGTTTCAGTGGGACAAGCCTGCAGCACCACAGATAACACAACCCACAGCCATCGTCCCTGCTTTCCTCCCAGGAAACCCATTCAGCTGCTCACACGCTGAGCCATGCTGAGGGAGAGGCTGAACTTTACCTGGTGGGACTGCAGGCCAATGATGGAGGAATATGCCTGGATGGTGACAAAGATCTCTGGCTGGTAGATAATGTCTGAACCAGGGATACGAAAGGGTCGTAACAATCCCACCAAGCATCGTGACAGGGCGTGAAACACTTCATCAAAAATTATCTCCCCTGTTGAGTCATCCTACAGAAACAGAGAAAGGGAACAGCTTTATTATCTTTTAGGTCCTTCAGTCTCATGGCTCGTTGCCCCACAACACAGAGCCAACAGCAAACATCCTTCTGCAGTGGCAGCTGGATTAAAGTGACAGCCCCCATAAACACAAGTAACACAGTGAGCATCCCGTGGAGAAAGGATCTGCCATGGAGCTGCCTAGCTAGGGGCACAGCATGCCTCCCTCCTGGGCAAAGCAAGACTTCTGCAGAAGTTGAGACTGATACAGAGAGGAATAATTCTTCTCAGCAAACAGAAGTGGGTTCAGCCTTTTAAAGCAGAACAGCCCAGAGAGGCAGTTTCTGCACTTACCACAATCCCTGTAGAAGGGCTCAGATCGAGCTCGATGACAAATCGGTACTGGCGGGCCAGGAAGGTGACCCGTGTGGAGGGCACGAGGAGATAGGGCCTGGGCTGGACAGGCTCATCCGGCTGCCACCCGTTCGGCAGGATGCTGAGCACATCCAGCTCGTTTTCTGACTTCACCTGCAAGGGTAAACAAACGGCACGCGAGAGAACATCCAACCAGGCCAAATCAGAGAAAGGAATGAGGTTCCGATGCTCTGCAGGGCCAGTCACATCGGGCCGCGGAGACACCCTCCAGCCCTGCGCACCAACTCACCAGCTCGGGCTCGGTCGGGCACGGCCCGGATCACCTGGTGCAGGCGGCTGAGCACCCAGGCCAGGCGCACGTTGCGGGAGATGCGATAGTCCTTCTTCATCAGGAGGAAGACGTGTCCTGCCTCCTCCACCTGCGGCAAGAGC